ACCCCCTCTCTAGGGTCGATGTCCTCATCGACCAGGCCAATGGGTAAGAAGACGTTCTCGTAAGGGTCGAAGAGCTGTCGTTGGGGGTATGGAAGGCGCTCGTCCCTGGGCTGGTAGCGATGAATGCACCCATAGTGCTAGGATTTAGTCAAATCTATGGCTGCAGCCATAAAAATTGCATTCAAATCTATGGCTGTAGCCATAGCATGGATACAGTCATAGCTTTGACTAATACTGCTATGGCTACAGCCATAGCGTGGCAGGCCTTTGGTCCTGTTGCTTTTCTCGGCATCACCATGGCATGTGCAAGATCATCATTGCCATCAGCACCACCATGATCCCTCAACATAAAGTGTTGATCGGCCTTACTGTCTTCAACAAGCCGCGCCCCTCTGGGCGCGGAGGTTAGTGGTTCAGGCTAGGGTTTGGGTTTGGGTTAAAGGTTAGTCCCCAGAGACGTCATTTTTTCTCAGTTATGGCTGGGGCAAGGTAGCAAAAAAAAAGCCTATTACAGGCTCTGTAAGGGTTGGTTAGGGTAAGAAATATATTTATTGTCAGTTAGGGTTGGGGCAAGGGAGCAAAAAAAAAATCCTGTTAGAGGCTCTATTAGGGTTGGTTGGGGCAAGAAATATGTTTATTGGGTGATAAGGGGTTGGTATAACCAGTACTAGGATAAAGCTTTCCCTCCACTTAGGGTAAGCCGCTTGCGGGTTACCCTAAGTTGAGGGAAATTGCCACATGTTTAACAGTGGTTTAGCTCAGTATGATAATGCATTGGTTTAACTTACATTTTTAGAAGGTCAGCCGTTCAATCCTCACTGAAACCACTGCCTAGCTGTTGGGTGTCAATCACAATCACAGGTTGTCGATCATAATGATTGTTGTTCACATCAGCACCGCCACGCCCTATGGCTACAGCCATAGATTTGAATGCAATTTCTATGGCTACAGCCAAACGGATTTGACTAAATCCTAGGGCTATGGCTCATGAATGAGATAGTCCCAGTGTCCAGCTTCGAGCGTTGGCAGGAGGCGAATGCGTGTGTCTGGATTTGATTGTTTCCTCTGCCAGTCTCTCAGGACGTCCTTTGCGTGGGTAAGGTGACGTGATGGTTCCCAGGTGTTCTCGCTGTGCGGCCATCCCTTCCATTTGACCAAGTACTGTTTTCCTCGGCCGACTTTTCGCTCTTTCACGATTTCTTCGACTTCCCACTCCTCTGCTCCTCCGATCATCTTGGCCACGGGTCTCTTCTCTCGGCGATGGGGGGGTGGTTCGTGATAGGGTGTCAACAGTGACTCGTTGAACACCGGGTGTCTTCGGTCCGTGTCCGGCAAATCCAGCTTCCATGCGGCCGCTCCAACCTTCTCCAGTATCTTGTATGGTCCCAATCTCTTGTCGCTCATCTTCTTTGATGGTCTATCCGTCTCGATATTTTCCCCTTCTATGTACACCTTCATCCCAACCTTCAACTCCGGAACTTCTTTTCTTTGTTTATCGTAGTATTTTTTCATTTTTTCTTTTGCTTTTTCCAATGCTGCTTTTGCTTCGTCTTGTATTTCTTTGATTCTTTTTACAAATTCCTCCGCCAACTCGTTCCTTGATTCCATCCGCTGCTCCACTCCCTTCCATGGGTGATATCCGTGATTAGCATAGAACGGCGACATTTTGGTAGACGTGTTCATTTTGTCGTTGTATGCGAACTCCGCCATTCCCAGCCACTCCGACCAGTCCGTCTGATGGTAGTTGACGTAAATGCGGAGATAGTGTTCGATCTCCTGATTCATACGCTCCGTCTGCCCATCCGTGATGGGGTGATATGCGGTCCCCGGATTCATTTCCACGCCCAACATCCGATTCGTTTCCTTCATAAAGCCCTTGATGTATCGAGAGTCCCTGTCAGTGATGATTTTGCGGGGGACCCCGTGATAGCGGAAGATTCGGTCCCTGGTTAATCGTGCTACTCCTTCGCTGCTGATGTCAGTACTAATTGGTTCGACATGGATCATTTTGGTGAAGGTGTCACACCACACATGAATTGCGTCATACCCGTTACTGACCGGCAGGGGTCCGATCTGATCCATGGAGATGATTTCCCACGGCGCGTTTGGAACTGCATGCGGGTGCAGACTCCCTGTCCTGGCTCTTCTGGTCTTGGTCCGCTGGCACGCTTCGCACGTCTGGATGTATTTCCGAATTTGGTTTCCCATCCTTGGCCACCAGTAGTTCCTTTCCACCATCTCCTGCGTTCGGTTGATCCCGGCGTGTCCGACCAAAGGGGTGTCGTGGTGTAGTCCGATGATTTTGTCCCGCAACTCCTCGTCCCTTGGTACGTAGAGCTTCCCATGGTACGTGATAAGCCCCTCTTCCTTCTTCCATCCGGCGAGTGACTTCTCTAAGGCCGCCTTGACGCTTCCATCAATTGATCGAATGGCCTTGATTTCGTCGATTAGCTGCTGATCCTGTCCCTCGAATGTGACTTCTTGTGATCGGAAGAACTCGGGCTTCAGTAGCGTGACGTCCTTGTTGTCGTTCTTGCCCTGATCGTGATCTGCTCGTCGGGACAGGAGGTCCGCCTTGCGGTTGAGTGCGCCGGGTCGGTGTCGTAAGGTGAAATCGAACTCCGCCAACTCCGTGATCCATCGTGCTTGCCGTCGATTGAGCTTCTGCGGCTTCCGAAAGTACTCGAGATTCTGATGATCGGTGAAGATCTCGAACGTTTCCGTGGCTCCCAGGAGCAACTGCCTCCATTCGTCAAGTGATAACATGATTGCGAGCATCTCCTTGTCGTAGATCTCATAATTTCGCTCGGTTTCGGTCAATGCGTGCGAAATAAATGCGATTGGGCGCCAAATGCCGTCTTGGTTTTGGCTCAAAACTGATCCTGTTGCCCCTTCCGAAGCATCGGCTTCCAGACGATATTGGCCAGTGTCATTTGGCAGTGCTAGGACGGCATCCTCCGCGATTCTCTTCTTTAACCCATCAAACGCCGCATGTTCATCCGGACCCCATGACCATCCTGCCTTCCCTGTCAGCCGCGTCAACGGCTTGGCGACCTCCGCATATCCTCGAACGAAACGTCGATAGAAGTTTGTGAATCCGAGGAAGGCTTGGACTTGTTTGACGCTCTTTGGTTCCGGCCATTCCATCACGCCCTTGATCTTGACAGGGTCCATCCGCATCGAGTTGTGTCCAATGATTACACCCAGGTATTCGATTTCCGTGCGTTCGAACTCGCACTTTTCCGGCTTCAGGTATAATTTGTGCTTTTGGAGCAACTCGAGTACCCGTTTGGTGATTCGTCGATGTTCATCCAGATTTTCTGTGAAGATTAGTATGTCGTCCAGATAAACTACCACATGTCCCTCGTTGATCAGTTCCCGGAGTATGTCGTTCATCATGTTTTGGAAAGTTGCCGGGGAATTTGTGAGACCAAAGAACATAACCAAGGGCTCGTAAAGTCCGCGGTTTGTGCGAAACGCAGCCTTCCACTCATCGCCCTCTTTGATCCGTACGTTGTTGTATCCCCACCGGATGTCTAGTTTGGTGAAGAACTTGGCGCCGCACAGGTTGTGGACCAGTTCGGAAATCAGCGGTAGCGGGTACCGATTTCGGATCGTCATCTCATTCAGCTTCCGGTAATCTTGAACAGGCCGTAGCGAGCCATCCTTCTTCTTGACAAAGAAGAATGCCGATGCCATGGGTGATTTTGATGGCCTGATTCGTCCGCTGGCTAGGTTCTCTTGTAAGAACTCGTCGAGTTTGACCTGCTCGTTTCTCGATAAGGGGTACACCTTGCAGTCCACTGCTTTGGAGCCTGGTTTGAGCTCGATCGCATGATCCCATGCCCGTTGGTCCGGTAGCGAGTCGAATGATTCCTTGGCGAATACTTTGACGAATTCTCGGTATTGATCTGGAATCTTTCCCTCGGTCATTCTCTCCTTCTCCTTTTCCGCTTCTTCTGCGAATTTCTGCGCCGGCGTTCCCTTCAGCCGTAGGTCTACCTCCTTTCCAAAGTCGATCAACAAGATCGATTCTCCCTCTTCCAGATCCGGTGCACCCGCGTCCAGGTCAATTGCATCCATGTCGATCATCGCTTGGTGCTCCTCGTGACCCCTCATTTGACATTGCTCTGGGCATCGGCTGAATCTCATTGTCTGCTCCTGCCAATCCACCTCGGGGTTGTGTTCCGTCAGCCAATCCAGGCCAATGAAGATCCGGGCTTTTCCCAGACACGTCAGAAGGAACGTGCGTGTCTCCACATGAGGACCGATTCTCATTCTCAAGTCGACGTAGTGTGTGATCCGACCGCTGATGTTCTCGGTGTTGTCGGCGTTACGAGCCACAATGGGTTGCGGAAGCTCTTGGATATCCAGCTTTTCTGCCCGTGCGTAGTCGGTGTCAATGCAGCAGGTACTGCAGCCACTATCGAGCAGCGCCTTGACTCCACGCGTTTTCCCTGAGTCCAGGCCCGTGATCTGGACATATACGTCCATCGAATGCCTCTTTCTTTCGGCTTGGTAACTGCGCAATTCCTGCGCCAATCTGCTGGGCTGGGGGCCCTTCTGTTTCTCGGTCGCCAATTTCCTCTGGATGGCATCTGGCACCCTGGTGCGTTTGGGTGCTTCTGGAACCTCGATTTTGGCAGATTCCTTGGGCGCTTCCTCCTTTTCCAAGGATCGAGCCTTCGGAGCGATGCTCCCCTTTTCGGTCTTTGTTGACGTGGTTCCTTCTCCACGAGCCATAAATACGTAGGAGTCCAAAAATAATTTATCTGCAGCTTTCTGATCCTTTTTATCTTGTAAGTATTTTCTATTTAGAGCTATCTTTTCCTGGCGTTCTTTTTCCATCTCGGCAATAAGAAAATCGTGAATATTTGTACGTAGTGAGTCTGAGATCGTGTATGTAGATGAAATATTGTCCGTATCTTTAATCGAAACAAGTACAGAAAATCGACCATAGTCCGGACGCTCCACCTCCTTGGCTAGAGGAGTGGAGCGCTTCAAAAACCCTTCTCGCACAGCTTCTCGGCAATCTCCTTCAGGAACTCGTTGTCCTTGTCCCCGTTCTCGATTTCTTCCAGCATTGTGGCCCGATTGAAGAACGTGCGCTTCTTCTTGGGCTCCGGGCAGTTCCGCGCAATGTGCCCGGGCTGCTGACAGTTGTAGCAGATGATATTGCGGCCGCGGGCGTGGGTACGATCGATTTCCATCGGAACCGGTTCGTTGGCAGCGGGTCGGGCCGGAGCGGGTGTGGGCGCCACTGGTGCCGTTTGGGGACGGAACTGGGGAGGTGGTCGTTGTGTGGGGTGCCCATACGACGCTTTGCGCAGCTGGTCACGCAGAGCATTGGCTTCGATGTTGATGCACCAGGCTTTGAACGCTCCATAGGCCTTGGGCAGAGGGACACCGGTGTTGTAGAGACGGCTGGCGATCTCGCTGCTGAGTCCGCGCTCCAGGAACTCGATGAGGATATTATCCTGGTCCCCCTTCTTGTATTCGCCTTTGTCGTCGGTGGTGTCAACCACATTGTAGCCTGCATCCGCGGCCAACATCTCAAAGTCGGAGATGTAGTCCGCGAAGGACCGTTTGTTTTGACGCAGGGCCATAAGCCGAGCAGCGGCGACTTGTTCCGCATTGGAGTCCCCGAACGCCCTCTGAAACTCCTCCAGGAAGTTCTTTGATGTGACTCCTGCCTTCAGTCCCTGGAAGCCATCGAAGTTGTGCTGCTTCCAGTTCATCGCCCATCTCGAGGCAGCGCAGCTCGTGCCGTTCTCGTGACGGAGGTAGGAGAGGACAAAGAGGATTTTGGTCTCATCTTGTGAGAACTCCGATCGATAGGCACCGATGTAAGTGGTGCACGCGTCCACAAAGCCCAGGTATTTGGACTTGTCGCCATCGAAGTAGGGGGGGTTGGCGGCGAGGGTGATGCGGTGATGCCCTGACATGGTAGGGGCAGGCGTGTGAGGTGGAGGCGAGGGTGGTTGTTCGGAGGGCAGTTCGTCGAGGTCGGGGATCTCGTCTTCAGGCGGTGGGAGGGCGAGGTAGGGGTCGGAGGGCCCGGGTTGGTTTTGATGCGCCAGATCGGGCGACGATGGTACGATGGGGGGAGGGGATGGACTCCCAGACGACGATGGGAATCGGTACGAAATGGTGAATTCGTGTGCTGTACAAGCACTCGAGGGAGGGTTCTTTTGCTAGCAAAAAGATCCCGGGCCTAGCTCTTCACGTGCCCGATGATCCCGAGGTGCGTTTTCCCGAAGGTCTCCGCAGCACTCCTTGTAGCTACCGTAAGGCTTGGGTCGGGCTCAACGTTACCCGTGGCCTGGTGCTGTTTGCTTGATATGAACCCTTCACTGCGATAGTGGAGGACGACTAGATGATTCGGTAAAAGGGTGAGTGGGGTGATAAGGGTTAAGAGGATATAGTGGGCGTAGCGGTGCAAGATGCAGGGTAAGAGGTATGAGGTAGGAGGGTATGAGGGGAGTCTTCGAATTATGTGACAATCAACCAGAAATAAAGTCGAAAAGAGAAGTGAATTCGAAGACTGGAGAATACAACCAAGTAGCTACAGTATTTATACCCAAATCCAGTCTGAGTCATATCTACAACTAATGAGTCATAGGGCTATGTACCGCATGGAACGCTGGTCATGGGTCGTAGTAGAACCTTCTGGAGCATATGTCGCGCAGCCTCGAATCGATGAAGATAATCCCTGAAACCCCTAGTCCGGACCGTCTGATGCCGTGATCCGTGATAAGATAAGTTGTGCCAAGATAAGATAAGATCGTCGATGATAAGATGAAAAAGTGGCCAAACTATGACAAAGTACGCTGCCAAGTTATATTAAAAGGTTACATCTGCCTCCGACTTGTTCGACCCGTCTCTGCCCACGCCTGCTGATAATCTCCAATTCCTTAAGGAGGAAGTGATGGTGCAGCATCTGGCCAAAATTTCCCTGACCAATTTCCAAAGATTAGCGGCTGAAAGCGGTGCAGCAATTGCCAGTATGAGTTCTTCTGACATATTGATCAACCTGCTAACTTTGTATAGGTCTCGATGTCCTGTGGCCATTTATTTTGGAAGTTGCGACTGGGCCTGACATTTGTTGAAGCTTGTTTGTTTTAGCGACTATCACAGTATGTAGACATGACATCATAAGTAGTATTCTTAGATGACTTTTGGCTTGCTCCACAATGACCTCATACCTGACCTCATTATTGCGTCATCCATTACTCATCTATGGTATCATTACTCCACTATGACATCATGATATCTGCTCCAGACTGGTATATAAACCTAATACTATACGCTCCATATCCTCAGCTCCTGTGTCTTACACTTGCTGAGGTATGCATTCTCCCTTACAATCTAATGACCCTTACTTATGACTTGTACCACAGACTCTGTGTCTTTAGGTACAGCTAATGTATAGCTCCTGTGTCTTACACTCGCTGAGACTCTGTGTCTTTAGGTGATTGCTACTGGTCGTATCTCCACTGCGCGATATTGTCTGCAACAACATTGTTCGTGCCTGGATTGTTGATCCGCTCTTGAGCAACACCAAGACAATCAAGTACTCTGGAACAGACTATGCCGGCATTAATCAGGACATCTATGGAGCAACTTGTGACATGTTTGCCCATTTTTCATTGGTTGATTCCAGTGGTTGGATGGTCTTCGTTGACATACAAGTTATACTGCAGCCCTCCTGATTCCCCCTTATTTTACCTGATTGTGTACTATAGGCATCAGAGAGCCTGTCCGTGTCAATGGAGTTTGAGACCATAACAAGTTAATTCTTTTTGATCTCATGGCTCACACACAGCAGTGCGTCATATTTCTTTGATCAATCCCACTGTAACAATTTCGAATCTAGGGCTATGGACGCACTTGGAAACAGAGGAAGAGATAGGATTGAGACCTTTGTGAATGAACACCAGTGCAATAACATCTGTCAAAAAATCGGTCTCAAACTGATTGCTGAGGACAGTAACATCAAAGACCAGGATGTGAATGTAAACAGCCAGTTTCTAGAAGATGGAGAGATTGCAGAGATGAGATCAGATGACGACTAATTATTCGATGACATTTTCTTGAGATATAGTGATAAGAATGTAATATCGATGATTTACTCTGCTTCGGATTCAATATATCTACCAATCATTGCCATGAATACTTTCCAGCCATTGAGTGCGGTAACTTGTGGCGAACCAATCTCCTCAAAGAGTGATTCACATACACCAACCATCTTGTTGCTACCAAACTGAAACATGCCAGGAGGTGGATTCTCCTCCATGAAGTTGTCAATGATAGGCTTGTGAATGTCATCAACCTCGATGAGCTGATTTTCCGCTCCAAACTGCTCTGGATGGTTATAGAAATCATGATCTGTCCTCCCTTAGGGAGGAGGCTCCTTCTCTGTTTGAACACAGTGTGACGCTCATTCTCAAAACGGATCTTGTCGAGACAAAGCTGGACAATCTTGCCCCACAGCCATAATGAGACCCCTCTGCAGTAGCATCAGCCTGATGGAACCGAGTTCACAAGAAATGGGACAGACTCATGAATTGGATCTGGAGGATGGAACCCAGCTTCCCTTTTCCCTGCTTCATATTCGAATTTTACGTGTGCAAGCTCCTTTTCCCAAATTGGATGCCAGCCACGCTCGGAGGTGATGTTGAAAACACTTTTGACCAATAAATGTGCCAGAACGGTGATAGGCTGGCTACCAGACGCGCTCTGCACCAACTCTGTAAGGGCGTATTTTTGCGCTTTTTACAGAGTTTACTCTTGAACCACTCAGTGTATCGTGTCGCGGTTGACAGTGTTGCGCTCAGTAGGACTTATGGGTCTACTGCCCAGTCGACGACTGTGGATAGTGTCGACGATAGCAAGGCAGTCAGACCACTACTGTGGAACTGGCCTTATGAGTCTACGCCAGGCTCAGGGCCATTAGTGACGAACGCTTGGACCGCGACCATTCCCCAAAAAGGGATCTGTCGTTGCGTCGACTTCTCAAAAAGGGTCACTCTCTGCAGATGGGAACTTGGGCTGAAGGGCTGAGCAGTGCGCGACGTTCTCAATAATACAACTACTACTGGACAGGACTTGGCGTTACGAGATTGAACCAATCTTGTCGCGGCAACTCCCGGTTTTGAGTTGGACGTTTCCTCAGATCATGCCACGACGACGACTTGTCACATGTCAGGATCCATTCGATCACGGGACATTGTGGACGCGTCGCGGTGACACTTCCAAGTGTCACGGCGGGTCGCGTCCATATCCAAACACACTAGAATCAACACGGCTAGATCCGTGAACCGAACCATGTGAGGGACGACCGGCGTGCCTAGGGCCATACGGCTTCTGGGGGCGCCCACGTTGGACTCACCTGCCAAGACATACCCGTTGGCCAATCCAGCACGTCGTATTCCAAAAGTATGACGCGGTGAGTTGGCCCACATCAAAAGTATCATATGGACTATGGGGCGGGGTCCTGATCACTCAGGACCTGTCCGATCGTTCAACTTTTCAATTACCCTAAAAGGCAACCGATCTTAGATAGCGTAGCTACTATGCAGTTGTACAGGACTTTACTAAGCATTGTCGTAGACAGTATAAGTAGCACGTTGTTTCTTTGTATTAAAAAGCTTTCCCCCGGACTGTGAATCACTCTCATTTCAGATTGTTTTGTACAATTTGCGTGCTGCGTGATTCCACCCGAAGAAGTTCTGCTACCCCTGCCCGGTCGCGACAAGTTGCTCCCTGAGCACTTGTAGCTACTGTGATTTGAGTTTGAGTTGAGATACCAGAAAGTCGGATTCGCCGCATCTGGTTTAGTCGTGGCATTTAGTGTCGTCGCCTTCGGGCTTTGTTGAGGTCGTTTCCACACCTCTAGCTTGGCAGTGCGTCGACTAGTTGTGCTCGGGTTGTTTTGGTCAGTTGGCAGTGCGTCGACTTGAGAACTTTGGTTCCACACTTCTTGCTTGGCAGTGCGTCGACAAGTTGTGCTCGGGTTTTGGACATTGGATATTGGCTGTTAGTTGGCAGTGCGTCGACGCAGCATTTTGGTCTACTAGTTGGCAGTGCGTCGACTCAGTACTATTGGTTGTGTCAGTTGGCAGTGCGTCGACTTGACATTTTGGTTTACTAGTTGGCAGTGCGTCGACTCAGTATATTGGTTGTATCGGTTGGCAGTGCGTCGACTTGACATTTGGGCTTTGCATCACCATCTGGACGCTGTCGGTACAAGGGATCTTAATACTTCGTATTAAGTTCTGACTTGTTATATTGTTGTTTGTGGATTGGATTAGTGTTGGTTGTGTTCGTATAGGAGATATTGGTTGAGATACCATTGTTTGCTATATATAAATTCTTGTCGTCGACTTCGTCTCTGCGACTATTGGATCTGCGTCTATTGAGAGTTGTGATACAGGTGTTCTGTCCACCCCGAAGCCCTCGCATCTTTCACACACTGAGAAGCTGATTACGAGGAGTGTGAACGTGTTTTATATTTGGGTTTACTTTCATAGTAGATTCACTTGTGAGCACGCCCTCAGCATTTCAACGGTCTCGAGATTGAGTGCTGGATTAAGGACCTGTCTACGATAGGACATCAGTACCAGGGCTGAAGATCTAGAGACCGTTACCAGAGTAACCGTAACGCAGTCTGGAGAGCTGCAAGTTCACTGGTTTCACTGCCTTTGTCAGTGGTTGTTTGAAGCGGGATACCTGAAAACAACCAGTCAGGCAAAACGGAAGCCTATGATCAGATTGCACAAACCGCCCAGGCGCCGCACCAGGTGTAGGTACAGAATTGGTGGAACCTCAGCAGCCCATGAATTCGGAAGTGCTTGAAGAAGAAGTTTGCAGCACGAGAACTTGTCAATGATCCCATAGATCGAAATTCCCATGGTTTTCAAGATCTTCTTGTGTCCATCAATGCACCATTCCTTGTTAGGCCCCGACGAGAACAATCCACGGGTGTGAATCTTCTTGGCGCCAGGTTTGTGCATATTGATAGCATTGGGATTGATTGCTCCTCGGAAATGGTCGATGTAACAGCTGAAAAGGTCATGAATACAGCAGTCTGACCAGAATACACTGATCACGCACCGAGAGAGGTGTACAGAGTCACACGCTAACTTCTCCTTGACAATACGACCACCCCATTGACCCAATGGATCCTTGTCAGTGAGAGCAATGAGAGCCATGGCTGATTCCACCAGTGTAATTTGTGGGTGACGCGTTGTTTGGATGCATTGAGTGAGAGAGGGAGATCAATGCATCATCTTGTGAGGGAGAGAGCCGAAGAGCAGGGGGTGGCTGTGAGCTCACTCTGTCCTTCCACCCACCTGCTGACGATCTCATCCTCAACAAATTCCCATTTCTGCGCTCTTATTACACACTCTTTTATGCTTCTATATGACTGACTATCACCCAGAACTCAACTCTATCTGTATAAATCTCTGTACACTACGGAATGCATCTCAAGCTCGAATTTGGATGCTATATAAGAGTGTCTCTGGGGTACACCCCAATTCCATCCATGAAGCTGAGTATTTCCCTCTCTTCTCACAGTTGGAGCTCAACATATACACTGCTCGTTGACTCGATCCTGGCATTAGGACGACCCTCCTACATCCCCCAGCCTTCAGAACCCTCCCCTTGCTGCCCATTTCGAGCTGCCGACCCCCCTGATCTTCTAGACAATACTCCCAGCCCATTCCTTCGAATTCTGGCCGCCCATTTGCTACAAAATTCCCTGCCCCATACCCTGCAAGCTGCGAATGCCTCTTCGTTTCAGATGCACGCTTATTTGGGTTTCCCTCCCTCTCTCATTGGGCACTCAAATCCTGCGATTTAATCGCACCCAGAGCAATATTATCGCATATTTTTGATCTTTAGGGCTCTTTCTGTTGTCTGACTACGCTTCAGGGTTATTTCGCGGTCAGCCCTCATTCTGGACCGGCAACAATCTCCCCCTCTGTGGCCTGCGGACTGGAGCCAGGTTTTTCGCTTCAGTTCCAGCGCTTATTCGCTTTTACCTCCCAGTCCTATTGGGTGCTCTTTCCTGCGATTAAATCGCACCCAGTGCAAGATTATGGCATATTTTCGGGCTTTTGGGTTCCTGGCATTTTCTGACAATGCTGCAGGGGTATTACACGGCCACTCGGCATTCTGGATTGTTTTTCCTGGACCAGGCGCTGCTCAATTCCACATAGCATCAATATTTACTTAGCACTTGTGCATATCGTGCATTTTTGATGGTGCATAGCTTGCACATGCACCTTTTGTGCGCTGCGCACATTCTGCGCCTTTCCTGTGGTGCATATCGTGCATTCTGAGTGTGCTTAGGCTGCACCTGCGCATATCGTGCGCTGTGCATATTCTGCGTATTTTCTGGCATGCATATCCTGCATTTTTTGACCGTGCATAGCCCGCACTTGTGCATATCGTGCGCTGCGCATATTCTGCGTGTTTTTCTACTGTGCATATCATGCAGTTTTGATGGTGCATAGCCTGCACTTGCGCCTATTGTGCACTGTGCATATCCTGCGCCTTTTCTTAGTGCATATCGTAACAATTTCGACTGTGCATAGCCTGCACTTGCGCATATCCTGTGTATTTTATACTGTGCATATTGTGCTTTTTCGGCAGTGGATAGCATGCACCTACGCCTTTTCGTTGCCTGCACCCACGCATATCATGCACTGTGCACATCCTGCGCATTTTCTGGTGTGCATAGCCTGCACCCACGCATATTGTGCGCTGTGCATAGCCTACACATTTTCCGGCATGCATATTGTCCATATTTTGGCTGCATATTGTCCATATTTGATGGTGCATTGCCTGCACATGCTCATTTCATGCACTGGGCGTAGCCTGCACATTTTCCGGCTTGCATATTGTGCCTATTTCAACTTTGATTAGCCTAGAATTGCGCATATCCTGCGTTTTCCTGCGGTGTATATCATGCATTTTTGACAATGCATAGCCTGCATCTGTGCATGTTGTGCGCTGCGCATAGCCTGCACAATTTCCGGCGTCCATATTGTGCATATTTTGACTTTGATTAGCCAAGAATTGCACATATCATGCGCTGCGCATATCCTGCATTTTTTCCTGGGTGCATATTGTGCATATCTTGACTGCATATCATGCATATGTGGATGGTGCATAGCCTGCACATTTTCCGGCGTGCATATTGTGCATCCTTTACTGACACACAAGCTGTGCTGCTTTCTTTTGGGTGAGCCGGCATTGTTCTGGCTGGGCAGCACATTTTGGGGTCATCTGCACCCCGCCGGCTTTGCGCCCTGGGCTCAGCTCCCACACCCAATCACACTACTGTTGTGCAACACAGTATTTTATTTGATGGAATGTCTGGCCAGCAAAGGCTCAACTGAAGAAGACAAAGTTTTTGTTTCCGGATGATGTTCTCGATGCTTCGCAAGCTATGGACAGTGGTCAATAGGCAGATCCCTTCAGTGTTGAGTAGAGGACTTCACCTAATCTGGATCCGATAATTGTCCAATAGAGCTTCGGGAATGTTGGCCTGCTTTACACCATTGTCGATGTACTGCTGAATCCAGACAGGGAGGTGAGGATATCAACTGACTAAGGACTAGTCAGCATCAGATTACAGGCTCGAATAAATGAAAAGCGTACAGAGGGAGCCCCCGTGCTGGTTGTTTCCCGAATGGTTATTTGCCATCTTTTCTGTGCGCTCAGCAGGCATGCTTAGTCAAGTACAAGTCCAAGGTCTAGATTCCACCCACAACAAGCCCATGTTTTATAGGGCAGCAAGGTGCGTCAAAGCGTCCGGCGCATGGAGACAAAGCGAGATACATTCAAAAGAAAGCGTAGCCGAAGTACCAGTGTAAAAGCACGAAAAAGCACGAAGTCGAGTCGAGTGGTGGCCGTGTTGAGATCAATCAGTGATCGATCTCAAAGAGCAAGAATGATCCTTGTGGGTAAAGACCACCGTAATGTGCATGTTAGGATCATCTGTATAATTACTGGCCCGCTCTTCTCACCAGAACTCTTGTTTGATGACTTCCGACTGATCTCGACCTCTAAACTCTATATACGAGGTTCCTTATCGTTTGGAGAGTGCGACGTAATCTTTTCTAATAGGCAACTACAATGTGATATGTCTGTGGGCTACTGCTAGGCGCAGACTTTTATAGCCACGCGGTGCGTGCTTGGATGTCTCCGTTGATTGGTTCAATAATAATATTCGATTTATGTGTCAAGATTGCGATGTTCTGCGGCCGGATTCTGTGCTCCCCGTCACATACCCAAACACGCGAGATCCGCTTGAGGCCGGAGGCAGATATTATCCTGCGCTGGTGGTGAAGCGCCACATTGATTGCAGAGGGCAACCGGACGAGTATGAGTTGAGGTGGTCTGAATTTGTGGACCCTGAACCGCAACCTTCAGAGACGTTCTTCCTGACGCGCAATCCGGTATTGTATTATCTCAAGCTCACCGTTAAGGGAAAGGTGCCCCATACGAAGGTGCGTTCTCAGAGTTTATAACTTAATTTTCTCAAATAAATTGAGTTCTCATTGCTCACATCATAGATTGGCAAATATCGACTTCCTTGGTCTCATGATTCAGATCCCGAGGCCCATTACGAATCGGATCTGCCGGGATATTCACCGGCGCGATTCCTGCCCTTGCCGCCATTCCCGTGGCATGGGATCCTGTCCATCCCGTTGTAAAATCCTGGGTTCAGGACTCCACAACTGCACCCAAGAAGAAAACTTGTTCTGAATTCGAGGGGAGCTGGATTGTTGACGTCCTTGGTCTTGGTATAACAACAGAACTCGAGAACTTTATTGGCGACGCTGGTGGACAGCTCCTCAAGTACAAACATCCTGCATTTCGGAGACTCAGTCAAAGTGTTCGCTTTCAGCGTGTCAACACGGTGGGATGCGTATTATTTCACCTGCTGTTCGTGCAAAGGGAGCTTGGGGAGCCCTTTGACGTTGGTGGCAGATCACTCGAAGATCTGTGTTCCTCAAATATTGTTGGGAACAAGGATAACAAGAAGATTCACCACGTCATGCATGCGTTGAACAACGACGCTCTTGACGGCAAGCGTGGGGATCCTCTCGGGAACCGAATCGAGTTTCGTCGTCAACACTGTGTTTATGATCGCAGCATCCAGTTTCGTGCTTATCGCCGGGTTGGAGGAGCGGTACCCACGAACGCGGGGATCGCAATCACGCCCAAACGAGCGAGGGAGCATTACGATGAGCTCCAGCAGGGTCCGCGGCCACAGCCGAGGCCGAAGAACAAGAACTTCAGGAGGAACAGGCCAGCTGTGGCGCCGACAACGCGCCAGATCAGGGGGACCTCACAGAAATAGGATATTGTTAGATAAATACATCTCTTACAGTCATGAGACGACGGGGCAACTCATTTAGTAGAACCAATTTCTGATGCTTGTCATTACCCCGGCTTGAACGAGAGCTGAATCAGTGCCAAGCGTTCCGTAGCTCAAATAGGGTCGGGAAGAGACCGACGTTTCGGGCATGACGAAACGGCTTGCGCCTGCGCAAAACGGCTTTTTTACTGATGGGCGTGGATTTGGCTGGCAGCTGATGCCATCAGGCTTGCAAGCCAATTTGTCGGCTTGTCATGCCCGACAAATCGGCTTGTCTCCCATAGTTTAAAGCGTAATCAGAGGCTATCTGCGGTATTTATGAGCTATACGTTGTACTCTACGATAGATAGGGCTCATGTACATGCTGATCGACAGCGCTAAAGATGGTCTAATCATATTTTACATAGAGATACGCCGCCAAGTACTCTTTTCTCGACCTGCGCATCACAGAGAGGCTCAAACGCATCACGGACTGTCGGGCTTTTTTGCAGAAGTGTATTGAGCTGGTCGGTGCCTGTGATATGCAACAAGGTGCTTGCGATTCGAAGTAGTTTCGAAGTCAGTGCCTATGAGTGAAAGTCTTATGATTGTACAGCACCATCATCATTCCCGCAACGCTCTGCGCTCATGAATGCTTAAAAACTTTGGAATATGTGAGTGGCACAGGTGGTATGTTTAGAAGGCATGCTCAGTGTTGGCGATCGCATATCTTACTAGTAATGATAAGTAATTGGCAATTACTTGTCATTACTTATCTCACTACCGCCCTCCTGCTTGTTCCACGACCTTCTAGATAAATACAGATATTTAGTATAT